TGTCGTCATATTGTCTTTTATCTTGTCAATACACTTTCTAACTTGGATTAATAGCGTATATTTAGTTTTAGTATTGTTTTATTATTCAAACACATTTAAACATCCATCTTATACTCATATTCTTGTTAATTTATCATTGTCAACCATCCACTTTCATCATTTATATTTCTCTTATTTAAAATCTGCCATGAACACAGTCACTGTTAACCATTTCTAAATATTCTCATACGTAAGAACTAGAAACGATAGCAATATGTATGCTATATTTTTATTTCTAGAATTGCTCTGGAACAGCATAAAGCATTGGATAAGCTATTGCAGTATGTGCAGAAACCGTATCCTTTTTTTCTCTTTTATTTCTCTTTACGTTTCTCTAAATTACAGGGTATTTTCATTTGCTATATATTTTATGCATTATTTAATTAGTGAATTAAAACCAAAAAATCAGGGAAGAACGACAGCAATATTCTAGTGGTAATAGGGATGGTCAAGATACTAATGATTATTATCATCGTAATTATTAGTATTTCTAAGCTGGTGAGAAATTTTATTATTGATCTCATAACATTTAAACTCCAAATAGTTGTGTCAAATTCTCATTATAATTTTTAAAGTTTCAGTATAATCATGATATTTTTGCCATGGCTCGTCTGGTGAGTTTTGAGTTATAAAGACATATCATTTGGTTTTTTATTTTTTTAAAATATGTAATGGTGTATGATGTATTATTGATATTGATGAGAAATCACAGAAAACTGATAAATGATCAATAATAATCCATTAAAGATCAGAAATTAGAAGTGTTACCAGCTTTGGAGAGCACCAAATTATATTTAATTTTCAGTTAATGTTTTAGCATTTTCATATGAGATCATTTCTTTGTAAATGGATTGTGTAAATTGTTTCATAAAAGTCTTTAAATTTGAGTAAATTAGTGATTCTATTTTTTGAGAAATCAAAAGTGTTCATTAAAGTTATCAAGAATAATATAGTAATCTAATAGTGATAAAGTTGATCTTTCAGAGCATTTTCTTTTTGATTTGTTTGTTGTTTAAAAAAAAAGATACTGGAAAATAACAAGTGAGTATATATTTTTTGAGAAAACAAATATTATGTGAATTAATCTGTTATTGATATTATAAACTTTTTGAATATGTTTAGTCTATTCTTGTTTAAAAATGTATGCTAATTATTAGTAGTAAAAATATGATGGTATTGGATAAATTTTGAAAATGAAAATTTTGCTGATTAATTTTTGAACTTTATTTTAGTTAGATATAATATGTTAATCTGATTATAATTGAATATTTAAATGATGTTGTTTGCTTTTTCTAGAAAATTTAAGTCACATATATTAAATGTATTATTATAATATGAACTTTTATTATATTAATTATCTTATATTTTATTGGATAATTTATATCATAATAATATTTATTAATATCTTATTGAACACTAGCTAGAAGAGATCTTATTTATTAATATTAGATGGTAAAACAAGTAATATAATCATAGCAAAGTTAGCAAAATGATCCAAGCTAAACTAATAATAGGATTCTAGCTAAATCAACAATTTGATCATAGCAAAAATAGCAATATGATACTAGTAAAACAAGTAATTAGATTTCAGCAAAAGTAGCAATAATATCATAATAAAAGTAGTATTTGTAAATTATTAAATGTTATAAAAACAATGTAACTTAGTTAGTGATTTAATATAACTCAATAATTTAACATAACTTAATAACTTAGCTTATTTGATAATAAGTTTGATAAAGTTCTTGTTTGATAGAACTTTAATAAGATTATATTTTGATATTGGTTTTGATCTTAAAAGATAGATTATTATTAAATAACCAATTGTTATATTTAACTTGAAAGACAGTTACTTGGAAGACTTATTATCATCTTTAAAATTATAAAGAAACTTAGTAAAAGCTTAATGAAGTTATTGAATATCATTCTAGTTTATTACAACAAGAATATATATTACTTATTTTTAATAATAATTTTTAGTCTCTCCCATCATAAAACTTAGTCTCTTTTATCTCTTAGTTAATAGAAACACATAAATAATATGTTAAGAACTTCTTAAAGTCTATAAAAACAGTAATAGTATATAATTTTTAAGAATTTGATAATTTGTGATCTATATTTTTGAAGATGAATAATTAAAAATTTTGTGATGCATGTTGATTTTTTAATAATATTGAAGAATATTGAATTTATAATTGGTGTTAACTTGTTGTTATTGAAAAAATTAATTGATTAAAATTATATATTTGTATAATATTTTTAAAAGATTATATATTAAAAAATAAAGATAATAATTTGATATAATTAGTAAAATAATCTAAATAATTTGTTTCTATAGAGTTAGAACTTCTATTTTTTAGTATTATTATTGTATTGAATTATGATTATATAAATTTTCTATTTGTTATATTTAATATTTGTTTTTTGTTCATTGAGAAAATTTATTAATATAATTTTTGAATTAAATAATTTCTTCATTTTTTTTTTAGCATTGTGTAATAATTGAATTGTGAATTTGGTTTTTAGAGATTGAGATTCTTAGAGTATTAATTTTGATAAAATAGAAAAAATAAATATTTTTGATATGATTAATAATTTGTATTCAAGTTTATTGAAATTTAATTTCTAAATAATCAATTTTTTGTTGAATTTATTTAGTTTTTGATTGAAAGTAAATACATTTTTTTTAATTTTTCAATTATTTTTATATGATTAAGAAGTTAATATTATTATAAATGCTATTTATTATTATTATTATTTGCAATATTAATTTTGTTTTATGATCAAAAATCAAAATTAGGATTGAATACAGATTATATATGTATTTTTAATAAATTAACTTTAGTTATTTTTAATATTAATTTTTTGGATAATAAGACTTTTTTATAGTTAAAGATAAATAAGATAATAAATTAATTTTAGTTGTTTTTGATATTAATTTTTTGAATAATAAGACTTTTTTATAGTTAAAGATAGATAAGATAATAAATTAACTTTAGTTATTTTTGATATTGATTTTTTGGATAATAAGACTTTTTTATAGTTAAAGATAAATAAATTGCAATAATCAACTTTTTAATTTTTATAAAGTTTGTTTACTTATTGATATTTTTTGTTTTTGAAAGTATATTTTTTGATAATGTGATTGATTCAAAAGTATATTTTGCAAGATTGAGTATTGATAATTTTTCAATATAAGTTATTGTTTTTTAGTATAAAATTTTATATTATTGTAGCAATCATATCAGTTTTATTTTCAAAAGCTATAATTGCAATTTATTGATAATTATAATAAATTAAAGAATATTATATATAACAAGATTTGCTTTTAATTAAATAAATTAAGTCATCTAATTTAAAGATAGTTATGTCATATGAAAAATTAACAAGTTTAACTATATATATATCTTTTTGTTTTAAAATAAATAGTTAATCTAAAAAAATGCAATTTGTACTAGCAAAGTTAATTATTCATTGGTTATTTGAGTTATTTATTTTTGATTTTCATATTAAACTGTAATATATAATTATTTAATAATAATGCATTATTTAATTTTAATTATATTATCAAATTTTGAAATTATAATATTAATTTGATCTTTAATAATTTTAATTGAAACAGTCTATAAGATCATTATTGTTATTAAATTAATTGTTTTGAAAGAAATATGACTGATATTATTAATATGAATATTTATAAAAAAATTCTAAGTATATATATTTGATATTGTTATAATTAATAAATTTTAATTTTATAAATTTTGACATATAAAAGAAATATTGATTAATATATATAATATTTAATTTGATATCTTTTTTTAGAAGTATTTATTTAAAATTCAGACTTGATAATGTTTGATATTGATAAAAATTTTCCATTTTTGATTTTGATCAAATATATTTGAGTTATTATTATTATAATTATGAATAGAAAAAGATGAATTAATATATATTTCTGAGTTATTATTATATAATATGTACTAGAACTATATATATTATTTATTTTTTCATGATGTAATTAATATATTCATACTTTTACCTTTTGATTATAAAAAATTTAGTCAGATCAAAAAAGCTAATTTTTTAAAGATAAAAAAATTATTTGACAACAGTCATCATCTTTATATCTTTGAAAACTTGGTTAAATATTATATTTTATATATGATAGTTATATTAATTTTCAAGATTTGTATTCTTGAGATTGTCATTTTTTATTTCTTTTATTTTATAATTAGTTTTTACTTTTCAGTTAATCAAACGGTAATATTTTTGTTCAAATCGGACCACTGGCCGTGGAAATATTACGTCAGATTCTTTTTTGGAGTTAACAAAAATTAATCAGCCAATTTAGGACATGTTATCTTGATCTCCAGTGATCCGATTCGAACGAAAAAAATACCATTCGATTCGTTTTGACTAGACAAATCGAATGGTATTATTTTCGTTCGAATTGGATCACTGGAGATCAAGATATTACATCCTAAATTGATCAATTCATTTTTTTGGCGATCAATTTCTAATGAAAAATTGATCGACAGATATGAATCGGTCACTTTAGGACATATTATCTCGACATCTAGTGATCCAATTTGAGTGAAAATACTACCATCCGGTTTTTCTAATCTAGACAAATCAAATGGTGGTATTTTTGCTCAAATTGGATCACTAGATGTCGAGATATTATGTCCTAAAGTGAACGATCCATTGTATTTAGGACATGAAAGTTTATAAACATACAATACGCAATATAGAAGCTCTACCAATGATCAGCGTTTGTAATGTTCTTTGTGCTCGGAAAAGTATAAAGAAATGAATGGCACTATGAAACAAAAATTCAATTCCTTACAATTATTCTTACACGAACATAATCTCATGCATGAATACTAACTGTTCAAACTCTTGCTCTTGCCCCAGCTTATATAACTATCCTCCCAAATGAAAGTTTCCACATCCATTGCTCTATAGGCTTTCATAAACTCCTCTCGATTTTCCTCGCTCATTCTAAATGGTCCTTTCTAAACAGCAAAAGCATAAATTCTTGTTATCCGTAAAAAAGATGCCTAAAAATTCTCAATGAAGATTTACTTTGTTTTCCTTCACCACTTCCACTTTATCGTTTGTCACTTCCTTCACCTCTTGATCATCATCAGACAGATAGTAGTGATAATAATAAACATTTACAGCTAACAACACCTGCCAGATATAATTTACCTCATGATCTGATGTATCCAAATCACTTGTTTCCGAATCATCATATATGTGATCCTGTGATTCCTAAAAAAAGAATGCAATTATTTAGTCTTGATTGAGCATCGTGATAACTGAACAATCCACTTTAATGTGAAGGCCATACCTCATCTTCCTTGTTGTCTGTTTTGTTGCCTGTGATTTCCGATTGCTGTCCAGATGAACTTGTTTGGAAGAAATTATCGGCCTCATTATTCCAATCCTATGAAAGAATGAAATCAATATCACAAATTAGGGCGTAAGAATAACAAACGATAATAACTTACAGCATAAACATCAGCTTTCTGGTTCATTCGATCATTTGTTTTTGCGGTTTGAAAATCTCCTCGTGTTTTATCCGTTATGATTACTCTTTCCTAAAACAAAGAAATTATGTAATCTTTTTATCTAGTAAGGAGTCCCCGATAATTTTCAAACATTTCGCTTGCTGATAAGATCATTTGAAGACAAGTTAGTCATGTTGGTCAGACAGTGATGGAAGGAACTACAGAGAAACATACATCCATTTGTTCAAGGATATTGCGGACATGTTACGTGACATCAATGTTGGTGTCTTTGCTTACAATAATGTCAAAAAGACTTCGATTATATATCTAACACTTGCTGTGGTGTCGAAGGGCTCTCGTTATATACGGATCTTGCAAAAAAGTCAACACGATCCCATCTCGACAAGTATGTCTTAGTGAAAAACTGGTTAATATTAGAGTGGGGCTGGCAAAGGCTTGCGTTCAATGTAAATTTTCCAATTTTGCTCATCTGTTCTTTGAAAGAAGTGGTTTGATTAAAAGCAGTAATCAACAAATCTATACACAATACTCTTTTGTAGCCCCCGCCCAGGTTCAAGTTATTCAGTCACAATCACGCGGCTGAGCACATGAAGTTCGCAAGCAATTATTAACAATATTAACTCTAGCCACCCTTTCGTGTTGAACGTTCAGGCAGAAGAGTGATAACCTCCTGCGACTAATACTCGCCAGAAGTAAGCTCTTTCCGCAAACCTCTCCTCTTACATGTGTGTTGAACACAGAAGATTTGCAGGTAAACCCTGGGGCGTTAGTATCCCAGCATCCTTTTTGTCTAACCAGGAAAGTCGCCTTTCGTGTTGAACTTCCAGGCGAGTCTGGTGATCCCCTTGCAACAAAAGAGGCGCGTGTACGTGAAAACAGATACTAATCATCATTCTAGCTCCAGGCGGAGCAAGAGTGTCACATGAAATGAATTGTTTATATAATTATGGCTCCGGAGCAAGTAAAATTTAGAAATTACATAGTAACCCGGAGCTAACCCGGAGTACGCTGCTCCATTAACAGTCCTACGAAAAAAATAAATATTTCATAAATGCCTAAAAAAAGCCAACATAAAAAGAAAGTAAAGCGGGAGGACTTCAAGGTAATTTTATTTATCTGAAAATCACTATCATTGTATCGATAATGTCAAAATAATATACTTATCTTTTTTCCAATGATTTAGAAAACAAAACTTAAAGTTGGCAAAAAGAAATTATCAGCCACCAACTTGACAAATGTCTCATTTAAATCACAAAGTAGTTCATCAATATGATTTTTATCAAATTAATAAAAAAAATAAAATAAAATTCTTATAAAATTTTCAATATATTGATTTTTCTTTAGCAATTATTCTGCCTAATCAAAGCATTACAGAGGATAAATCAAATGAATTGACTAATTCGCGGAGATTAACTCTAAATGATTTATTGATTCAATTAAAACATTATAGCCCTGGATCACGAAAGGGTTTGTAAATTATTAATCTTAATGAATTGGAATAAAATACTTCGATTTTAAATTATGAATAATAAAAAACACCATTGTATTCAACAAGATGCTATACAGGGTCTCGTTGATTATTTTCATCGGTATCCTTCTATACTTCCAAGATCATTAAGTAACGTGATAAATGCTACCGTTCGTCTTCTCATTGATGAAGTGAGTAATAATATATGAAGAATTATGTTCAAGAAGTTGGCAAAAATCGTAACTCTGAATCTCATCATCATTTAATAGGATAAGTGTGTAAGAAAATCACTATTTGCTTTTTTTCAAGAGTTTTTACCGACTCTGAATAAGGTAACTGTAAATTTATAAACAAATTATTAATTCTATTTTGGAATAAATCGCATTTTTATGTTGATATTATTCACAAAATTATTTGGAATATAGATGGATTTGATACCATTTCTTCCGCTTCTTATTATATATACGTGTTCTGGGATGACTCATATCTATGAAGATATAAAAATTGATGCCCTTAAATTTATGGATATCTGGTTATCAATTGCGCCAGAAGTAGTAGTGAATGGCTTTTGGGATAAGGTGAAAGATTATATGTTAGTTTATAGATTGAAATTATTTATTTTATTGAACATATGAAATATTCCTTTATATAGGTTCTCCCGAACTACATTAGTTTTTTGACATCCAATCCAAATGCAACAGAATTTTCAAATTCATCCTTTTCAGGTACTGAAAGAACGTAACGCGAAGTTTATATATATAATGCTATGTAATAAATCTTCAACAATTATTGTTCCTGCAGCAAATTCATCACGAAATGATATGTCATCCCAGGAAGTAAGTGCCATTTTCTATGACAACAGTGTTATTATTAATTTTTCTTACAATACCGATAAAATATAACATCAATTCCCAAAACAAAAAAAGGTGAAAATTGACGCGCTTAAAGGTTTTCAAGTTTTTTTGGAAGCAGGAATGCTAAATGGCGTCAATTCGTAAGCGAAGATGCAAAATACATCGATATACATATAAACATAAATATTGAATTTTTTTATAGTAAGCTACAGAACTTTTCTTACTGATTGCTGTTTTTTTGTAAATCTTTGATTTATTCAGTTACTGGTATTTTATGAATTTCTTGTCAACTGGGAATACTTTACGATCTCTTAATCAACAGAAAAATGAATCAGAAACTATTGTAAATTGGGATGAGCGACATGGACAGGTGAATACTAGCTTCGATGATATTGTATGATAAAAAAAATGAATATTATTTAAACCCCAAAAAAATCAAGGTCTTTTTGTCACCATCTCATCCGCTTATCGGATCGCTTTTACCGAATATGTGCGCAAGTTCCGAGTCAAATATTTCAAAACAACTTAATTTATTCGACGCATCTGATTCTACATCGACAAGAGACAAAAAAAGTGATCGAATAAATTTGAATTCAACAAGCGATTCCAGTTATAGAAATTCCGACAATACATCTGTTATAGGTCGATTGTCAGGAGCTAAGGTATTAATGTGATATCGAAATTTGTTCTTTGAGAAATTTTGCTAATTGGATAATATCACATACGCTTTAATTCAGAGACTCTTGGATTATATACATCCACTGCTTCTTTCCATGTGGCTTGATGCTGCACCCTCAGTTTTTGCATCATTTAATTTCAGCATTCATGATACCTCTGCTCTTCGCATCCTTTATCTTATATTGAATATTATGAAAATTTTGTGGAGAACAGTTTTACTTTCCCCTGCCGAGGTATTTTACTTCTTTGATAAACTACAAATTTTATTATGACCATTGAATGGTACAAATAAAAATTTTTTGAATATTTTAGGAAATCAAAGAATTTATCATGCCATATTGGAATCAGCTGTTCAAATATTTGGCTGTCTATTTTCCTTTTGGCTGGGAAAGCAATATGCATGATAATAAGGTTAGCTATACAATTAAAAGTAGTTGTAATAAAAATAATCAAGTCTTGTTAATAATGCGATATTTAATTCTCAATAGATTGAGTCAATTCTTTCGGAAATGAATATCATCTTTAGTGAAATGGTTTCATCATACATACTTATAATTAGTGAAAACAAACTCACAAATCAACATGGGTTACCTTCTTATCGTCACAAATCTGATCACAAAGGGATCCAACATTCCGAGTCAAAATTAGCGGCTTCACATCTCAATAGTATAGATCAAGTAGTAAAATATGTATTACATATTCTTAGATACCCGGTAATAATTAAAATCCTATGTTTACATTTTAGCCTTGAAGTAATCAAATCTTGCTTTTTGGAATGTTTTGATAACGAGATTTTTCATTGCAGAGAAACAATAATGACACTAAAATAATACCAAGTGCAACAATCAATATCAAGCCCGAGCTTTTCTCATCATTATTTCCTACTATCATGTGTTTGCTTAATTGTATTGACCAAGACCAGCAGTTGATTGTGTGTCAGGTATTGTTTTCTTATTATTTATATGCAAAATTAGCAATCATGTTATTTATATTTGAATTTTTTTAGGCATTCATTGATTATTCGAAGCGATGCCATTCTCAATCCACCACAAAGAGAACCTGTATTGAATTCATTGCTGATATTTTCGAGGTAATTATTATTTTTTTAAATACATCGAACCAATTTCAGAGAGTCAAATATTAATCGATCTTTTAATAGTTACAAAGCCATCCACTATATACCGGTAATTTCAAAATCCAATCCAACAATGCTTTATCTTCATTAATACAAACATGGCTATTGAGTTTACCAAAAATATTGTGGGAACTTAAATTAAATAATCTTGAAACAAGTAAAGTAAGTATTTCCTTGATTCATATAATATATACACTCGACCCTCGTTATAACGGATTTTTAAATTCTTGCGTAACTAGTAATTTTGTTATAACTGCAATTTTTAATGTGTGGGTCGATTGTTTTTTTTTTGGAAAATTATAAAATAAATTATATTAATGTCTTTTCTTGGCCTACATAGAAAATTCTACAAGTAATGTGCGATATCGTTAAACGAGGATTAATTGGTCCATTTGATGCAAAGGTAAGATATTGCATATCAAATAGCATATACTATTTGTTTAATCACACGACAAATGAATCTTATGCTATTTCATATTTGTTTTAGATATATGATCAAATTCAGATAACTCTGGTACCTTTTCTTCTTGTGCATCTGCCAAATAAAGGTGAATGATTACCTAAAGTTTTATAGTGAAATTATTTTGAACATAAAATTAATTATTTGTGATTTATTTTAATCTTTTTAATTTACTCAGGACCAATATATGGACCATTCATCAATTTACCAACACATAGTAAGCGAAAATTTTTGGAATTCTTATTTTATTGTCCACATCTTAATGATAAGCTTACAATAGCATTAAATAAGATTTTACTTCATGAGCAAATAGAATTCCAAATCAAAAATTATGCTTTTATTGTATTAAATAATAAATAAAAATAAAATCCTTTTATTTTATTGGAAAAATCAAAATTAAATAATTATAAAGAAATATATTATGGTGCAGAATATTTATGGTGCTGGAAGTTTATACTCAACAATTACAAGAGATCTTTAAAACACATTAACTTTTTGTAGAAATGATATTTTATAGAGTTTGTTACAAAGAACAAAGTTACCAGTTAGTTTTTTAAAATATCATTTTTACAAAAAGTTGATACATTTTAAAGATTTCTCATAATTGTTGAGTATAGACTTTCAGCATCATAGTTACATTACCAAAAACTAATAATTTTTAAAAAATTATTAACTAAAAATAATATTATATATATTTGTTAAAACTTTTTATAATTTAATAATCAATAAATCAAAGAATAAAATTATGAAAAAATATTTAAAAAAATTCATTTTTCTTACAAAGTTAATTTAAAGCTAATTTATTTTATTGGTAATTTTTCAAATTTAGCACTATTTTTCTTGATTAATAATATATGACTATATTAATATAACAAATGCATATGATATTATTATTATTTTGAATTACTCAAAGATATTTATAATATTTAAAGGAATATTCAAAAAGAATTGTATATTTTAATGATAATTCAATATATTAACAATATTTTATAACTATTAAACTAAATATATATTAAGTACTAAAAGTACTAGTAACAAATTACTAAAAATTGGTAACAATTTGTATTCTTTTAATACAATAATTTGAATAGCTAGAAAGTATTCTCAGAATTTCAAAGTCAAAAATATAGAAATGATAATATTTATATTATAACAAATATAATTCAAAAACAGATTTATAAATTATAATAATAATTGTTTTATTCAAATATAATTTTGCAATTAAGATAAAAGATTATAGGATCAATAATAATAACTTTAATAAGCTTCATTACAAATATGTTCAAAAAGTCTAGAAATTTAATTACTAAATAATATAATACTTATAGCAAATGTGCTTAAGTAACTAAAAATTATATAACACTTATGACAAATATGCTAAAGTGATTATACAAGAAACAAAAATATACTTTGTTAAAGAAAAAAGTTGCACTTGATTACTTACTCTATAATATATACAAATTGAATTTCTTTGAACAATCAAAAGTAAGGAATAATTAATTATAAGATAGTTATTAAAACTATTATTATTAAAAACTTGTTCTAATCTAATTCTAATAACTATAATATATATTACTTTTATATATATTCAAACTATAACTTAACTAATATACAAATTTATATTTACTAGTTAATTTAAATTCTATTAATTTAATATTTATTTGTTTGCTCATTTGTTTGTATATTCATTTACTTGTTCATTTATTTATTTACTTATTTTATATAATTAGATTTTTTAATAAAATATAAAATATTAATAATTAAATATGAAATTATCTTGCAAAATAATTTACAAAAATTTATATTATAATAATATTTACTATAAATAATTTTTATTATCTATTATTTTTTAATTTTTACTAATATTAATTATAATTCTGATTTAAATTATAATTAAATATATATTTACTAAAGTACTAATCAAAAAATTTTATTATTTATCAGCAATAATTTAATTTCTAATTTTATTAATATTAATTTTAATTTTGATCAAAATTATAATTAAATAATCAGCAAAAAATTTAGTATAAATTTAATTTAAGTATTATATTTTTTTATTGTTATTATATTATGAATTAATAAAACTTCTTTATTATTATATTTTTTACTATTGTTGTCTCAATCAGCATTTTGCATATTAATTATATAAGTATATAATACAAGGATAACAATATTACTAGACTATTTCAAGTTTATAACTAAAACTAAATTAAATATCAAAGAGAAACTATAAGATAATTAAAATAATAAGCTATTAATTCTAATTTTTATTAATAATTTACTTGTTTGTTATTAAATAAAATGCTATTTATATATAAAAATAAATACTACTAAAATATCTAAATTATTTTTTTAATTAGCATAAATATCTTTTATCTCTAATTTATTATTTTATATTATTTTATTATTTATAACTTTTTTATTATTTTTAGTATTTCATATTTTTTAACTATTATATAATTAATAATATAAGTAAAAATATAAAAATAAATATAATATTCAATAAAAATATAGTAAAATATAAACTAATAAAATATAATATATAAATAATAAATTAAAATTAAATAAATTAAGTATTTAATAAAAATAAGAGAGATAAAATATATTTTTTCATATAATTTCTAAGCTTTATTAAAGAAATCTTAAAATTAAATAAGAAATAAAAGAAAAATAAAAATTATTAACTTTTTTAATTCTTTATATTTATTATAAAATATCAAATAAATTAACTTAACTATATAGTCGTAATCAGTTATAATAATCATTATTAAGTTAAAATTTAATAAAAATAAAATAAAGTTAATATTTTTTTATAAAGAAAATATAATAAAAAAATGATTAATAATAATTCTATTAATTAACAATTAGATTTTTTCATTATTTATTATAAATATAAATAATAAATAATAAATAGATAATAATAATATAAGTAATATCATTTTATTATTCACTTTTAAATAATAATAATATATAAATAAAAAATGTAAAATTTGATTTAAATTTAATTTAAATTTTGAATCAAATTCAAATCCAAACAAAAATTTAGTTTAGTTCAGTTTAATTTATAAGAATACTAATAAAAACTTAGTTTCTTTCATCTTTAAGTTAGTAGAAACATATAAATAATATGTAAATAAATTAAACTTCACAAAAATAATAATAATATAAACTAAGTTAATATACAAAAAATATTGAAGTTCAAAGATTATTTAAAAAGAATATTTCTAAAATTAATTTTTAACAAAATAATTAAAATATATTAATATTTTTAAAAAAATAAAAAATTATTATTATATGAAGATATTGATAATTTTTTAAAATTAATAAATATTGAAAGAATTAATCAAAAAAATAGTGATAATTTAAAAAGAAAAATTTAATTAATATATA